CCGTCAAAACCCAGATTGGCTTTCTTCAGATCACTTGACCTCATTATCGATCACAGTGATTTTGGTCTGTCCTGCCCCTTTAACTCTCAGCTCTGATGTCAGCTCCCTTTTTGTTTACTTAGCTTTCATGTGAAATTCCAAATCTTCAAAGCTCTGCTTCTTTTCACCCCACCCAGACTTCTTGCCCCGATTCCCGGAATCTCCCAACCCTCCCAGTGTGATCACTTCATAGCTCCCCTTCTCCATTGAGAAGGCCCTTATTTCTCTTTTTTTTTGAGATTGAGTCTTGCTCTGTTGCCAGGCTGGAGTGCAGTGGCGTGATCTCGGCTCACTGCAACCTCTGCCTCCAAGGTTCAAGCAATTCTCCTGCCTCAGCCTCCTGAGTAGCTGGGATTACAGGCATGTGCCACCATACCCAGTTAATTTTTGTATTTTTAGTAAAGATGGAGTTTCACCATGTTGGCCAGGATAGTCTCAAACTCCAAGCCTCAAGTGATTCACCTGCCTCGGCCTCCCAAAGTCCTGTGATTACAGGTTTAAACCACAGAGCCCGGACTCTTTCTTGTGTTTGTTTAATTCCTATAATTCTTGTCTCCTCTTCTGTGATTCCACCTTTCCCCCAAACACATGCATATACTTTCCCTCTCCCTCTCCCCCCTCAGCTCAAGCTAAGCCTGGGGTATAGGAAGGATGTGATCCCTTCTTCAGTAATAGCCCAGGCCTCATTAGAAACTGCAAGGGAAGTAGCTGAACTCATGGTAGACAGAATGCCATCTACCATGATGACGGTGGTGGTAAAAATAGCTGCCACTGATTGAGATCTGACTGCACCGTCCGGCATGGTGCAAAACACACACACATCTCATGTAGCTCTTCCAGTGCCCTTTGGACTGTACTCCATCTTCCAGATGAGGAAAGTGAAGCTCAGGATCCTTAAGTAGCTTGCCCAAGTGCACACAGCTGGTAAGTGCCTGAGCCTGTATTTAAACCCTGTCAACCTCTAGTCTACGTTTATGTGGGTTTTTTTTTTTTTTTTTTAAACTTTGGCCCACACAATCCTTTAGGTGAAAGTGGTTTTCTTTGGAAAGTGAAAGTGCCCAGATCTTTGTGTGACTCTGCTCTTCCTTTGGTCCTAGGAGGCCAATGTGGCTCAGAGCCTAACCCGTTCCTGGCCTTTCCTCCTTGCACAGTATGGCCCCAGATGAGGCCTGTCCTCTTTATACCTGGAGGTAGCAGGTTAAAGATGTGCAGTGGGGGTGGGAAGCAGAGAGGGGCCTCCCGCCAGCCAATCGGGAGGCGACCGCCTAGGCTCCCAGCACAGCATCATCTGCTCCTGCTAAGACAATCATCCACATAAAAGGCTAATTGTATTAATCACCAAGGCACCCGGCCCGAGTCCCCCTCCCTTTTCGGAGAATTATGAATTGCAATTGCAGATGGCTCCACTGATTGAAGGCAGTGCTCAGCAGGGAGAAGGGTCAGATCAGATTACACACCATTAATTAAAAACTTCCCTGACAAAGAGGAGGAAGGGAATGCACACCCAGGGCTGGCCTGGTTGGGTCTCTGTCCTCCCCATGTCCCCTGCTCCCACCCAGGCCCAGGGGCTAGGCCAATGAAGCCTGCTTCCCCCAGCTGGAGCCACTGAGATTCAGCTCCCCAAAGGCCAGCCCTTCCCTCATCCAAACAGATGGCCTGCTGTCCTATTAAACGGCTCCAGAGGAGGGGAAGCAAGCCTTTGGTTACTTCCACGTCTAACCTTGGATGCTCTTAGAGGCTAACCTAATTCCCCACTTCTCAGGAACCTTATTTCCTCCTGCTCTGTCCTGATAGAGAACTGCTTTGAAGAACTGTTGGTGAAAATAGCCCCCCAGCTTCCTCTTCAAGCAACACCCCCCCCCCCCCGGGTTTTTGGCCTGTAAGTTCCTGGGACAGGCGTTGTGAAGACTGCTCTGAAATTGTGGGTGGAACAGCATATGTCTGGTGATGCAGCCTCTCCCCAGCCCCTACCTGGAAGCATAGGCTTCTCAGCTCTTGTCATACGGGCTTATTTGGAGCTGTAACTCCTGAAAATTTCTCCTCTTGATCTATTACTGCTTCCCCTCCCTCCCCGGCTGCCCAGCCTTATTCATTCATCAAACTTATATTGAGCACCCAGTGTATGCTTGGCTCTGGGTACAAAAAGCAGTGATGATTTGTCAAGGAGCTTAAGGGAGCTCCACACCCCTATCCCTCTAGTTTCCGTTTCCTTCCTTCCTGGGACTGCAGCTTGTATGAGACCCTCTGGAGCTCTGTTTTGGAAAATTCTAAACTGGGAGCTGGGGACACCTTAAGTGTTCATGCTCCAGACCCAGATGACCTTTAGCAAGCCAATCATGTCCTCTGCATACACATACGCTCTCATACATGCATGCATACAGATAGACACTCAGCTGTCCCTGCTCATAAAAGGGCACAGGCAGTCTTGGGTTCTGAAAGATTGCGAAGATGGATGAGTGGGGCCCGGCTTGGAGGGATGTGAGTGGTATCTGCACTGATATTACAGAACGCTGAGCACAGCCACTGGGGCAATGAGCACCAGTGATTCAGCTGCTGCACTGGCCACAGGCTGGGTCTGTCATGCTGCCCTTGAAGATTTAGGCAGCTTTCCCTCATCCCCAGTCCCTCAGGAGATATCACTAAAAAGGATCTATCTTTTGTTTGTATTTTAATTTTTCATTTTAAATAATAGAGATGGAGTCTCACCATGCTGCCCAGGATGGTCTCGAACTCCTGGCCTCAAGCGATCCTCCCACTTTGGCCTCCCAAAGTGTTGGGATTACAGGCAGGAGCCACTGCACCAGGACAGGACTCATCTTTTTTTTTTTTTTTTTTAAGACAGAGTCTTGCTCTGTCTCCAGGCTGGAGGGCAGTGGCATGATCTTGGCTCACTGCAACCTCCACCTCCCAGGTTCAAGCGATTTTCCTGCCTCAGCCTCCCCAGCTTGGATTACAGGTGTGCACTATCATGCCTGGCTAATTTTTTGTATTTTAGGAGAGATGGGGTTTCACCATGTTGGCCAGGGTGGTCTTGATCTCCTGACCTTGTGATCCACCCACCTTGACCTCCCAAAGTGCTGGGATTACAGGTGTGAGCCACCATGCCCAGCTGCCAGGACCCGTCTTTTATATGAATTTGGCTGCTGCATCTTAGGGTACCATGGTGATGGGCGTCATAGAGATGAGAACTGACTTTATTGGCTTGCCTCTGCATTTCAGGACCCTCTCACAGCCCCTCACACCCACAAATTCCCAAGGTCAGCAGACCCAGGAGAAGGGGAGACAGGGTTCCTGGTAAGTAGATGAATGATGTGAGAGAAAACCCACTGTCTTCCCTCCCTCTCCCTCATCTTCCTCTCTCTCCTTCCCTCCTCCCTCTCATTGCCAACAGCAATTGTATTCAAACCCAAGAATTACAGTAACAGCAATAATAACCATCATTTATTGGGGTTGTTTTTCTAGTATTTTAACTTCCAAAAGTATTTTCCAATTTCTTGATTTCACAGCAGTCCTCGGAGGAGGATCGTGTCCATTTTATAGCCAGAGAAGCCGAGATCCAGATAGGACCCCCAAGTTGTGGGCAGAATAAATCTACAGCAGCCTTGAAATATTAAACCATTTAGATTTCGGTAGTCTTTCAGAGGCAACGAATCTCAAATCAGTTTTCTGGGTCACTCCTGAGTTCCTACCACCCTTAGGGCTTATTCACAGCTTTTTGGGGATCCTGTAAATGCTGACAGAGAGGCAGGAGACCCCAGGTCATGAGTCAATGGCTGGGATGGGCACTTCCCCTCTAAGGATTGTTCCTGCCTACCAGTGGGCTGTGGGGTGGGAGCTGGGGCAAACGCCTGGGAGGAGGCTTCCCTGGGAAAGGCCTGTCTGGCTCAAACCTCCCTTCCTCTATCCCACCCCTCTTCCAGCCTGAAAAAATGTTTTTCTCTGTGTCAGCTCTTCTCAAGGGTGGGGGCCTCTCCAGAACATTTGGAGGAGTGAGGAATAAAGAACTATTGGGAGAGGCCAGGCGCGATGGCTTACACCTGTAATCCCAGCACTTTGGGAGGCCGAGGTGGATGGATCACCAGAGGTCAGGAGTTCAAGACCGGCCTGGTCAACATGGTGAAATCCTGTCCCTACTAAAAATATGAAAATTAGCCAGGCATGGTGGCGGGCGGCTCTAATCCCAGCTACTCGGGCGGCTGAGGCAGGAGAATCCCTTGAACCCGGGAGGTGGAGGTTGCTGTGAGTTGAGATCGTGCCACTGCACTCCTCTGCCTCAAAAAAACGAAAACAAAAACCCGAAGATCTATTGGGAGAGCAATCTTTGTCCTCAGGAAGCCCGCAGTCTGAGGGAGGAACTTTGCCCCCCAAAACCACACCCAAGGGCAGAGAAATCCCCCCCCACCAGGAGCTCAGAGGCTGTCCCAGGGCCTGATTCCTCCAGACAGCCTGTCCCCTCCACCCCAAGGGTTTCCTGGGTGGGTAAGAAGTTGGGCTTCCTGAGGTCCCTGTAGCTCCCATGTCTAAGCAGAGTGGCTGTCTGGGCTCTCATTTCTTTCTCCCCCAAGACTCGGGCATCTGGAAGATCAGGACTCTTAAGGGGTCCACTTGGGTGAGAGAGGAGGAGGGCGATCCTAAGTCCCTTGCCTTCCTCTGCTCTGTCCCACAGAGCGGTGGGGGAAGCCCTAGGGAGAGGGAACGAGACACATTCACTCTCAGATTCTTTTTTTTTTTTTGAGACAGAGTCTCGCTCTGTCACCTGGGCTGGAATGCGGTGGCATGATCTCGGCTCACTGCAACCTCCACCTCCTGAGTTCAAACTATTTTCCTGCCTCAGCCTCCCAACTAGCTGGTTTGACAGGCGAGAGCCACCATACCTAGCTAATTTTTGTATTTTTAGTAGACGGGGTTTCACCGTGTTGGGCAGGCTGGTCTCAAACTCCTGACCTCGTGATCCGCCCCTCTTGGCCTCCCAAAGTGCTGGGATTACAGGCATGAGCCACTGTGCCCGGCTTACTCCCAGATTCTATCTAGAAATGTAATGCCGGGGATAGGGCTTGTCCCCTCCGGCCCACCTGGTCAGGACAAGAGGTCAAGCCTCCCCCTCCCGCCGTCTCCAGGGAGAACCTCCAGGCAGGCCCTGCAAGGCAGGGAGCCCGAGGGCGCGGCCAGGCCTAGGCTGTTTCACGCACACTCTCCATCTCCACGGCTTCCGAACGGGGCTGGGATTCCTTCTTTGGGGGCTCCACCCCTGTCCCTCTCCCTGTCCCCACCTCTGCAGTGCCTGTGAGGATAGCCAGCCGCTGGGTCAGGGTCTTGGTGTTGGGGAACAGGATGAAGTTGTAGATCAGTGAGGCCAGGAGGGCTCCCGTCAGGGGCCCCACCCAGAAGACCTGAGGAGAAGGACGTGGTCACCCCACCCGGGAGCTGTCAGGATGGCAGGATAGCTCTGGGACCTCTGCCTGCTTCCCTAGTGCTGGCTTGGCCTCCCAAGTCTCCCTCTGTCTCTAAGGTGCTAAATGTGAGAACCACAAGTTGTGCTTCCCAAGCCCGCCAGGTGAGGGGACCTTGCCTTCGCTGGGGCTGAGCCCAGGCTCTGCAGCCGTGGCTGGGGGCTGGGGCCCGGGCTGTTCTCCTCGCCCACCCCACCTCTTTTCTCTCACTTCCCCCGTTTTAGCCATGAGTCCCGGCTATTGCTGTTTCTGTCTCTGCTGGTGTGTGTGTCTATTTCTGTTTGTCTTTTTCTTTATCCAAGTTTGAAAATTGGTCCAGCTGGAGAAAGCGAATAAGGAAACAGCCAGAACTTAAAAGTCTGGGCCAAGGCTGCAGCTCCTGCCCTGGCCCATTTCTTGCCAGTCCACTGGGTACTCTGGGCAGCTGAAGCTGAAGAGAAAGGAAGTCCCAGCCAGGACACCTGCCCTAGCCTTCGAAGCTTAGGGAAGGCTGAGCTTCAGGCTCAGAATGGTCTGGGGGCCCGTCTCCCCATCTGCATGGACCCGCTGCGAGTGAACCCCACCGTCTATTGCCAGCTAAGGCTCCCTCCCTTCCCCAGGGCCGCCGGCAGAGGGCCTCACCCAGTGGACTGTGAACTTCCCAATGATGACGGCAGGGCCAAAGGAGCGGGCAGGGTTCATGGAGCAGCCAGTGAAGTGGATCTGGGGAGCAAGCGTGGGGTCAGGGTGGGAGAAGGCTTGAGGGAGGCCTGAGAGGGGACCGTTTCTGAGTACTGGCTGAGAGCCATAGTGCCAGCCACGGCCTCTGTAGCGCCACATCCTGGGCCTAGAGTGCAGGGGGTACCACTTTGGCTCCAAGGCCCAAGGGGCTCAGGGAGGGACACTGCCTGGGCCTCAGGGTTCCACAGTTTCCCCGGGGACAGACCCAGTGTGTGGATGTGCACGGTGTTCCCTCTGCTCCTTACCCCAATGAGGTGGCCCAGTGCCACAGAGATCCCAATCATGGTGGCGGGGGAGCCGGATGTCTGGCGGCTGTCAGTGGAAGCGAAGACACAGAGCACCAGCTGCAGAGTGAGAAGCAGCTCCACGGCCACCGCCTGGCCATTTGAAACGCTGTTCCGGACCTGGGCGAGGTAGTTACTCTGGAGCAGACGCCGGCAGGCTCTGCCCTCAGACAGACAGAGACACCCCTGGCCCTGGGCCTGTCTCCTCAGCTGGTAGGGGATGACACCGCGCCACCGCCCAGCTTCAGGACTTCAAGAGGTCTGTGCAGCGGGGTCCATATCTGCTCTGGACCCTTGCCCTTGCAGAAGTGAGTGGCCCTCCTCCCACCCCACCAGGGGGCTGGCTGGCCTGTGGTTCAGGAGGTCAAGGCTCAGTCCTCTGGGTCCTGGGGCCCAGCCCCGGGCCAGTGCAGCCAACTCGTTTCCTCCTCTGCTCCCTCGCCTCCGCCTCCGTTCTGGCCTCTGCCTTCACCACCTGTGCGCCTTCCCGCCTCCCCGCCCTCCAGGGGTTCCCCTCCTTGCACCTACCACATTAATCCCAAGGGTCTCTCGGATGTCTCCCGGCATGACCCCGTACAGCAGAGCAGCCCCCACCGTGGCCCCAACCAGCTGGGCAGCCACATAGGCCACAGCTCGGGGCAGAGAGATGTGGGAGCCTACGAGGAAGGCCAGCGTCACGGCGGGGTTGGCGTGGGCCCCGCTGGCCTTCCAGGTGACCTGCACAGCCATGGCAGTGACCAGGTTGAAGGTGATGGCGATCTGCAGCACGGAAGGAAGCGCTGTGGGCCAGCGCATGACAGAGCCCACGCCAAAGAACACATACAGCCCTGTGGCCAGGAACTCTGCAAACAGTGCCCTGCTGATGGCTTTCCAAAGCCTGCACACCAACGTGCTGGCCCAGCTGCGGCCGCCTGGCTCCGCTGCATCCATGTCCTGGTGCCTTGGCTCTTTCCTGCTTTGCTCTGGGGCCTCTTCTCTGCTCCTCTGGTCTTGGATCTCCTCTGTCTCTTCCGGTCTCCTGTCTCTGGCTGACCCTGGCTTTTGCTCTCTGTGGAGGCTTTTCTGGCTCCCACCTGCAGCTCTACCAGCACGTTGGTGTCCCCAGGAATGTGCTGGTCAGACTGGCAGGGAGCAGGCGGATGGGGTTACGTGTGAGTGTGTGTGGGGGGGCGGTGTGAGGGGTGTTGCTCACATGCCTGCTCCAGCCTGAGCTCACCTGATGGGGTGGAATGTGGGGGTGTCTCTGGGCACTGAGCTGGAACTTCCTAGGAGGATTTCTAGGATGGGCTGGGCCTGACTCGGCTAGGCCGAGGTCTAGCCTGAGGGTCACAGGTGTAGGGCAGCAGGGGTCACGGGATTTCAGAGTGCTCCTGTTCCAATGTCAGTGAGATAAAGTAAGATCACTCAGATCCCCAAGTCCAAGGCCTACTTTGGGGGGTCCTGTGCATTCCCAGGTCCTGTTCGTCTGGCCCTCTCCATGTCTAGGCTTTGCTTCTAGATGGGCACCATGCTGTGCCTGTGAACCCAGATGTGAAAGTAAGTCCTCTCCCCCACTCCCACCTATGCCCACACTCACAGAATGCAGGTGTGAATAGAGTCGACTTTACCAAGGACACTGGACACTGCGGCCTGTAGGGGTACAGAGGGGCAGGTGGAGAAGGGGTTTATTCCACAGGGACTCAAACTGCGTTGGATCACACAAGGCCACACAGGTCACACCAGTGGAAACCTCTGCTGTCCACCTCTGCTGTCCACCAGTGGGAATTTCCACTGGCCCTTCACTCACTTCCTCCTGCCTCTCTGCCCTCCCCCACGCTCCCCTCCCTTCTCTGCCCCTCCCTCTCTGCTCTCCTCCTCTCAGGGCCAAAGAGATTTCACTCTTTTCTCTCACAAGGCAATGTAACCATTTTTGTGGTTGCACTGGCCCTATGGTCATCCATGCCCTAGGTTTCCCTTTTTAACCCTAGCAGATAGCAAGGTACTTTCTCAAACAAAAGTATTCCTAAGAAGAGTCTGTCAAGCTGTTAAAATAATAATCTTCCCCTCTGAACCACAGCTGGGTGCCCTGACCTCATCCCTGGCGTATGTACCTGCCCACAGATGTCTCCTGGTTGTTCTCAGCCTCCTCAAACACAATCTGTCTCAAGATGAGATCCCCCTCTCTCCTGGCGGCACCCCCCACAAACCCCCTATGTGCTCCTCTTGTTTTCTCCAGCTCAGCTGGTGGCATCTGAGAAGCATCCTTGACCCTTTTCTCCCTCCTTCCCCCATCCAGGAGAAGCATCAAGTCCTGCTGATTTTGAATCCTAAATATCTCTTGACTGTGCCCTCTTTTTGCCACCCCTGCCCCCCTGCAGCCTTTAACCAGCCTCTGTCTGCTCCCTTGCTCCGCTCCAATCAATTTTCCATACTGCAGCCTGAGTGCTGAAATGCAAATTTGATCATGCTGCTCCCCTGCTAACATCCCTTCCAAGCCTCCCGTCCCTCTGGAAGCTGGTGCCTGCCTTCAGGGACCCTGCTGCTCTGCCTTGCCTCTTCCCACTCTGTTACCCTCAGGTTTTACCAAATGCATACTCCTGCTGACCTCTCCTTGGAGAACACTCCTCTTCTTGGAGACCCCTTGCACTCCGTTTGCTTGGGTAACTCCCACCCCAAAGGCTCAGCTTTGACGTTGCTTGCTCCTTTCCTGGGTGGGTACCCCTCTGCGTGCTCCCACCATACGTTGGCATTCTCCCACACTGCAGTCACCACAGGGTGCTGTCATGGTGTGAATGTGTCTTCCCAGTGAGGCAAGGCGGGGAGGCCTTACGGGTCAGGAACCAAGTTTTGTTCACCCCTACATGCAGTGTCTTGCACAGAGATTGGCACAGTAAATGCCCAATAAATATTTGTTGAATGAATGAATAAAAACTTCTTGCTGGGCGCAGTGGCTCATGCCTGTAATCCCAACACTTTGGGAGGCCGAGGCGGGCGGATCACCTGAGATTGGGAGTTTGAGACCAACCTGACCAATGTAGAGAAACCCCGGCTCCACTAAAAATACAAAATTAGCCGGATATGGTGGCAGGCGCCTGTAATCCCAGCCACTCAGGAGGCTGAGGCAGGAGAATTGATTGAACCAGGAGGTGGAGGTTGCGGTGAGGGTGAGCCGAGATCATGCCACTGCACTCCAGCCTGGGCAACAAGAGCAAAACTCCATATTAAATTAAAAAAACAAAACAAAACAAAAAAAACTTCTTGACTTCCTGGGTCAGATGACTATGTCTGCTCTATTTCAGCCTCAGACCTTCCCCTCCTGGGACTGGGCCTTCTGATATTTTCAAGAGAAACATCTCAACTGGATCCCAGGCTCTATTCCTCCCCAATCCCTGTCTGAGTCCCAGTAAAATTCCTCACCCATTCCCTCCTGTTCTCCCCGCTGTCTCAGCTTCACCCTGTCCTCTCCAGGGAACCCCTGGGATCTCACCCTGAGCAGGCTTTTGCCAGCATCCCACTGTCCTGGCTCCCTGTCCTCTCCGCCCCGTCCCTGCTGCGTGTGTCTGTTCTCATTCTCTTCCACGGCTCTCTGCCCTGCATCTGCACTGCTGAGCACTGCTGGAGAAACTCGCCCAGCCGCGCAGACTGCTGCCATGACAAGCTCACGGTCTCTGGCCCCAGTGGGGATCGCAGCTCTGCTCAGCAATCCTTCCGTAGCTCTCCCCCATTCTTTAAACCTCCCCCACTCTCTTCAAGTACTCGGCTCACTCTGGCTTTCTCTTAGCAGAGCACCCAACCTTGCCTCCCACCCAACCTAGAAAGCCAACCTACCAGGCAAGACTTCTTCCCGTCCTTCCTCCCAGCCAAACTCCCCTGAAGCCGCCCCATGCCCTCACCAGCTGCCCTGTGGCCTTGAAGTAGAGGCGTACAAGTCGGGGTCGGGAGACCCTCCTTGGACTTCTGGCTCCCTTGAGTGACTGGGGCCCTCTCTTGGCCATTCCCACTCTCACCTGTAGCTTTCAGACCTCCACCTCTCCTGACTTCTTCCCTATAAATGTGCCTGTGTAGTCGCGGAGCAGTGGAAGATGATAGTTTGGAGTCAGGGTTCCAGTCACCTGTCCACTACCCAGTAGCCCCTGGCCCCCGCTACTGAAACTGCTCTGGCGAAAGGCAGCACGACCTCCTCTCCAGCCCGCTGTGGCGCACGGGCTGCCGGCCCTCTCCCTCCTGAAGCCTCTTTTTCCCAGCCTTTGAGGCACAGGTATCTCCTGGCTGTACCCCCACCTCTGTGAGGGCATCTCTGCCTCTGTGGCTGGCTCCTCTTCTGCTGATCCTCAAGCCCAGGCCTCGTCACTCCTGATGAGTGTGCCTGGGCAGTCCTGCTCCCACCTGTGGCCTGCGCACCCTGTTGACTCTCAGCACTGCCTCTGGTCCAGACCTTTCTCCTGAACTCCAGACCCACTCACCTCTCACTGGACCCTCCAGCCTGCTCCTCTTCACCCTGCTCTTACTCAGTTGCCGAGGCCAGAACACAGAAATTATCCAGTGCCTCGCCTTCCCCAGCCCACGGCAAACAGCTGACCGGGTTCCTGGTAGATCTCTCTCACATGTGACACCTCTTTCCATCCCCCCTTGCCACTGGCCCAGTGCAGCCTTATCATCTCTCCAGGATGACTGCATCGGCCTCCTTCCTGGGCCCTCAGACTACACTCCACATCTGTGCCCTTCCACGCGGCTCTCCACTCACTGTCAGAGAGATCCTTCCAAAATGCAAAGCTCATCATGTTACTCCTTTGCTCAAAAACTTTCAATGGCTCCCCACTGCCTCAGGCTCAGGTCTGAATACCCATGTTTAACGTCCAAGGAAGGCTCCCCTGCCACTGCCCACCCTGCACCCTCTACTCCATCCAGGCCAAACCTAGTTCCCCAGAACGAGCTGTTTGCTGTGGAGTTTGGATGCCTCTCCTTTTTGTCTCTCAAGACTTTGCTCAAGTGCAATTCCTCTGTGAAGACTGCCCTGATTTCCCTCTCCGGCAGAATCAGGGCAAGCTTCTTAGAGAAGCAGGGCTTGAACAAAGCCAGGGGCTGGTTGTGGCCTCGGCCTCCTCAATGCCTCCACTGTTCCAGCACAGACTCCATCCCTGTCCAACATAGAGGACTCATTCAAGAAATGCTTGAGGGATGACAGGGTATGGCTGTGGGGGTAGCGTGGGCAAAGTTCCTCCCTGGCATGGGGGGGGGTCCCTAGCTGGGGGCTGTCCCAAGTACTTCAAGGGCATTTGTCTCCTTCGCTTACCTCGGATGGGACCAGTAGAGAGCTTGGTGGACAGGCACTTACCAGTCCTTTCATCTGACCGAGCCTCAGTGTCTACCCTTGTTAAACGGGTGCCAAGTGGCAGTAACGTGTCTCTGTCGAGAGCTGCTGAGGCAGCGGGTGAAAGCACTGTGAACTGCCATGTGTGCAACAGCTCAAGCAGTAGCTTAACCTCAAGATCCTCATTTTCACAATGGGGATGATGCTAACAGTTCCCTCTGCCCCGGGCGTAGTTACAGTAAATGTGCTGACACCTAGGAGAGGGCATCCATACAGAAAATGTGAATGATTAGGGTTGCAGCTTCCCGCCCCTGCCGTGACACAGCTGTGGGGACAGGGCTGCACGGCTGTTCCAGGACAGGCACCTTAGCACCTGCCCTGGGCCCTGGAGCCTGACAGTGTTAAGTGCAGCGGCAGCCCTTGTCCCCAGCTAGCCTGGGGCTGAACCTCCTGACCTCTGCCTGGCCTGGAGCAAGGCCTTTCACCTCCTGAGGCCAGGTGGGCATTGATCAGGGCTTGCTTCAGGCCTGGCTTCCTGCCCTGACCAGCACCTGCCAGGACCCAGCCAGCGCTGGGCTCTAGTCCCAAGCTCTAAGCTCACTCATGCTCAAAACCCTTTTGCCAAGGCTCTGTATCTGGCTGTCTAGGGCTGCCTGTCCATGCAGCCCTGACTGAGGTCCTATCAGAGACTGGGGAAGCTAAGGGGGGAAATGGGAGGGGAAGGAGGAAGGTACCGGGAGAAAGGAGGAGGGAGAACACAAATTGATGGGGAAGGGATTCCAGGTGACTTCCGATGCATCATTTCACCACACAAAACCTGGAAAGGTCAGGAGGTCTGATGTCCTCATCCACACATGATGAAGGAGGAAGCTGAGGCCAAGAGGAGCAGAGAGACCCAGTCCTCCCAGTCGTCCTTCCTCCTGTCCACCCATCTCAACAGCCAGCCCTCTGTCTGCTCTCCACCTCTCCTCCCAGGCCTCTTCCATCTGTCCCCAAATCAACTTGTCCACCTCCCAGCTGGTGAGAACTGGCAGCCCCCGGGGAGACGAAGAGGGGGAGAAAGGGGAAGGGAGCCTCCCACAGGAGAATCCAGACTCTCCCTGGGTTCCATCTTTAGGTGCAGCAGAGGTGATGTGTGTGCTTGCATAAGAATCCGCGGAGCCAGGATCATAGGTCAGGGCCCGCGGTGGCGCTGTGGGCGAATGCTGGAGGAGGGCTGATGTGCTCTGCACACTCGAGTGAGCGTGCACAGGGAAAGGGACCCACACACCCGGAAGATGCAGCCCTCGGGTATGATAAGGTCAGTGTGTAGGAGCCCCGGAGCTGTGTGGGGTCAGTGTGTGCGTGTACGCGTGTGTGCACGGGGCTTTGTGAACCCGCAGACCTGCCGCTCCTCCAAGAGCCGACACGAGGACACAGCGACCCCTGCTGGCCACACCGCCCAACAACGGCGCTGGTCAGCCCCAAGCCCTAGCTGGACGCTCGCTCGAGGGCCGGGCGAGGCAACCTGCAGGAAGCTCAGGGCCAGTAGCCCCCTCTGACTGGGTGCCTCGCCCACACCCGCAGGTCTGTCTCCTAAGAGTCCACCGTCCACCCTGTTGTGGTCCCCACTGGGCTGGAGGGAGAGCCCAGCCTCCCGGTCATGGCTGTGTCTGTACCTGTCTCCTGGAGACTGAGCGGAGAAGGGCTCCCCTCTCTTCTGCGCCCCTCCGGGATAGTCGGGCGGGGTTGCATTGGGATAGGATGCCTCAAGGTGGCCCCAGGGGACCCAAGTCTGAAGGACTCCCTGTGTTCTCCACCCCACCCCCATCTGGCTGGAGCCCAGACCCAGGACTTGTGGTCGAGGAAGCGCCACGCTGTAGATTCGGTGGACGAGGTCGCCCCCTGCTGGCCAGAGCTGGCACTTGCAGCCCGGCTCCCCCAGCCTGGGGCAGGTTGGAAGAAGTGGGAAGGGGGGCGCAGTGGGTGGGGGCGGCTCCTTCCCTGGGCTCCCGGGGTTCTCACACGCACTGCCACGTGCTGTTTACTGCAAGCCTCCTGCCCGGGCATGAGTGGCTGAGCTCCCACTTGTAGATGCTTAGACTCTAAGTGTGGAGGAGTCTGGGGGGTCTGCCGCTCCTCACCCCGGCCCTGGGGGCTGGCCCTCCGCTGCCCAAACCTACAGCTTCCCCCACCCCTTCTAGTCCGTTTCCCGGCCCCGCTGGACAGGCGCTCAGGTCCAGACACCCCTAGGAGGGCAGAAGCATGTGGCTGGGACCCCAGATGAGGCAG